CCGTTACGTAGGATTTTGATTTCAACCGATTTTTAAATCATACGTTTGTTTCGTTTTCTGATTTAAAGAAATGAGGGTGTCACGTCAGATTTTTTAGAAAACCCATTTCAGACCAAAACATTCTAAAAACACTTGGAAATGTCACTTCAAAGATTTTTTTTTAATTACTAAAACACATTTCAGACCAAAACCCATTTCATATTTTGAATTGGCCCCTCAAATCATGGAAGTTACTATTAGACCCCACAATTATTGAGTTATTTTAAAGTTAGCCCCCCAAATATTCCTATTAGGTTACTCAATTATTAATCTATTTTAAAATTAAGCCCTACAATCAAGAGCAGAAGTAACAGTTGGAAGGATTACCAAGTAAAATCTATTATTGTGGACTAGTAGCTCCTCCAATGCCCATACAAATTTTTTTCAATCTTGATCTCTCCAATCACTATTTATATTCTTCAGTGGAGGGACAAATTTAAAAATAAGTCAATGATTGAGGGATCTTATAGAGGTTTCCATGATTTGTGGGATTAATTCAAAATATGAAAGATGTAAGGGCGAACATGGTGACTCAATTACGAAACAATTTATTAAAAAAGGTCTAATATCTTCTACTCTCGTAGGTGATGATGGTTTAACCTTTTTCTGGGGAATTGGGATCCTCTCTTAATGAATCCTCTCCTAATATCTCCTAATAAGAAGATCTTGGCCTTTGATTTATCAATCAAAGGCCAAGATCTTATCCTTATCTCCCCCCCTACTTTTGTGCATGAGAAGATCTTGACCTTTGATTGATAAATCAATGGTCAAGATCTCATTAGGAGATATTAAGAAGCCTCTCATTAGGAGAGGATCCGGATCCTTTTCTGGGACCCTCTTACTGAAATTTCTGGCTCCGCTACTGGTTCGTACGACGGTGAAGTTCAACTTTAGATTTATACGAAACTATTTTAAACTATCTTTCTGATGAATATGAAAGGTTAAAGGGGCTAATATGGAAAAGAGTGGATAATATGGAAAAGGGACCAGTACACTAGCGGGTTTGGATCTTGATGGGTCCAACTTTCCACAAAGAAGCCCAAGACCCGTAAGTACTTCTGAGCGTAGGAGTCAAGGAAACACTCAAAACAGCAATCTCTCGGTGACTCGCGGGACAACTTACCCTAAAAAAACCCCACTCTATAACACTCCTCTTTCTTCCTCGATCTCGGCAATTTCTCTTGAGACCTCATCGTCGCTAAAAGAGAGAAACTGATTTCCCATTGATCAATCAAGTACTCAAACTCAATTTGAAAATGGTAATTCTTTAGTCTTTTGCTTCGATCGCTTGAATCTTTCCCTTTTGTTTGTAATTTTAATTCTGATTTTGTTAATTTAGATTTAGATTTTTAGGGTTTCTATCTCTAGTTTCTTGTCGATTCTTGATTCTTTGAATCTTTTTTTTTGCGTTTATTTCTTGCTGTTTGGTTGTTTTGTTTTAGTTCCAAGTGTCTGATTACTACTTTTTTATCAGTAGCATGAATCTTTAGGGTTTATCTCGTAATTTACATTGCAATCTTGGACTTTTGGTTTGGTTTATTTATGATCAATGTTGGAAACAATTCTTTTTTTCCTATAATTTTTGGTGTTTTGAGTAGGAGGAGAATTTGTGCTATCAGAATTCGTTAGAAATTGACTTAACAAGTTTAGCATGTAAACGGCTGTAGAAATTCTAATTTTTTCCCTGCTAACATCAAATCGTAGGATATTACCTTGATTCTTGTCTTCAATAGTTAGCATCACAAGACATTTTATAAACACCATTTTAAAAATGTCCTTTAAACATAGGTGAATATAAGCCTAAGTTTTCTGAAAAAGACTAAATTAAATGAACTCGTGGTGTGCTCCTAAGAATTTCTTGCTTCCACTTGATTTTGTATCATGTAAGTGCACATTTGCTACACTTTATACGCATAATCACCATTGTAGTCTTAAGTAGAAGATATATGCAATTCTCAAATTCTTCTGCAATGCTAACTTAAATGGAGTAGAGATGTATTTATAAGAAATTGGATTCACATGATTTGCATCTTTGGAAACAGATAAGCATAACACATACCTTAACCTTGTGGTGATCATAATTTGAGGACAAATATGAAAGCTTCTTGCTTTCTGATTAAATGAGTTTTGTAAGGGTTTTGTCAAACTTTTGATAGGGTTCACGTAAAACAGATTTATGGGGTGCCCAAGGAAATGGGTCTCTCATTTTAATGGCAGTACCATAACACAATAAAACTTTCTTTTTGAGTGATCTATGTAGTAGGCAGGAAACAACAGCTGTAAATGATTACTGTCAAGTTCTGTACAGCAGAGTTTAACTCATTTTCCCTCTATCTTTTCCTTATCTTATTGCACTGATTGTAACATTTTGTAAATGGATGACCATTATAACATGTTGTTGTTAGGTTCAATATCTACCTAAGTGCACCGTTCCTTTTTTACTTCCCCAGTTTCAAGGGTGCCTCCTTGATCAGATCCTATTTTGGTTAAGCCACATAAGAGCAGTTAATTTGATGTAAAAATAGTAGATCTTCCAAAATACTGCTTTTATGCAAGAATTCTTACATCCAAGATACTCCTTTAAAGAGTCAGACGACTTAACTCAAAATACAACATTTACTAAAAGGATAGCTCAATAGGCAAAGAAAAATCCAGAGTCTTGAAGAAAGTCTGTCATGGTTACCAACTATCATCATGTTATTTTGAACTTTCAGTTTTGCAGCTGTTTTCTATGATGTAGAGGGTTGAAATACTTTTATCTCTATTCCAGGTTCTTCTGCAACCAGATCCATTCCTGAATGAGCTTACAAGTATGTATGAGAGGACCAAAGAGAAAGGATCTGTCTGGGTCACCCTTAAACGCTGTAAGTTAGTAACTTCTTTTTCCCTTTTTCATGATTTGATATAGTTTCTTCTTTTATGAGTGACCATTCTCTTTTACTCAATTATTTTCCTGACAATTTTTTTTACATGTCAGCATCTATGAAATGCAAGGCTAGGATAAACAAGATGAAAACTAATGAGGAAGCCATTGAGTATAGGTGCCTTGTCCGTGCCACTGATGGGAAGAAGACCATCTCCACCTCGGTATGCTTTCATTTATAACATTTACTTATGTTATTTTGTTGGGACAATTTCACTTCTATTTTTTTTTGTTATATATTTTCTATGTTAGTTACTTAGTCACTCTTGTCATATTTTCCAACATGTTGATGTGCTGACATGTTAACAAGGAATGTAAAATGCTCTCTTTGGTGGTCACATCATATCAGTTGAACTTGTGTAGAATGCCAAAGTAATGTTGCTTGTTCAACCTTCTTTGTCATATGTTAGCTATTAGGGTGAGTTTTAAGAGTGGTGGTTTTGACCTAATTTCTATATAAGTTATGCGCATTTGAGGAATCCATTTCCATTTGGTGATGGCTTGTTTTTGAACGTTGAGTGCAATTCTCTCAGAAAACCATGTCATCATCTTGCCTATTCACATGAATGTGGGAGCCTAATATTTGGTTGCATGAGGTTTTCACTGGATTACCAAAAATGTGGATTGAAGATTCAAATTAGTGTAATATTTTTATCTTGGTTTTTCTGAACGTCGTATTACCTAGATCCGGAAATGTTCTCTCTTAAAAAGTTAATGGAGTGCTTGAAAGCTTTTTCCCCCCCATAGTTGATCTGAGCTGTAAAACCTTATATCATAATCATCGTCTTCAATAAAGAACAGTCGTCTTTTGTGTTGCCCTCATGAATAGACTGGCATAGCATTTTTCAACCTATAAGTTTTTTGAATAGCCAACTTTTCCATATACATAAATTATGAAATAAGTATGTCATTCCTTCATTGACATTTGCTGTAGCCCAGAAACCAGTGAATTTCTTCTTTGGAGGAATAAATTTATTTGCATGTTTCCATTTTAGTTAAGAGAACAAGGTGGAAAAAGATACGGTTTTGACATAAACCTCTTGTAATTCTGGGAGTCCAGTACACTTTTATGTGGTTGTTTTCATTTAATTAGCTGAATCATATGTTTCATGGCTAGCATTGGTTCACCACCTTTTGTTTAGTCATGATACTAAAATCTGTTACTTAATACTTTTTAATTAACCCTTTTTTTAATTCTGGGGGTCCTGCACACTTTTGTTAGTTGTTTCATTTAGTTAGCTGCCATCTTGTGTATCGTGGTTAGCAACTTAGCATGTGTTGGCGACTTGTTGTTTAGTCCGCATACTAAAATCTGCACTTAATACCTTTCAACTCATTTAACTCCTTTATCGTAGGAAGGAATTCTGAACTCCTAATATTCATGGTTGGGCATAGAAGGAACAGATTGTTGAGGTGTGGCAAGCTGTCAAGGCTTCTCACATTGACTGGATGTAACGATTGGACAAAATAAAGATCAGTGTGTTCAGGTTCAGGTTATGTTTTTGCAGTCGGCTTCTGCGAATGTAACATAGTATAATCTGGAGAAATTATTATTCTGCATTACAGCGTTTCTTCAGGAGGTCTTACGCTAGTATTTATTAATGTCATGTCCGGATTACTCTAGATTTTGGACTAGAGCTTTCATTGAATTGAGTTCAACATGGATTACTGAAAATAGGAGACAAAAGAAATTTGACTTTAGTCATAATTCTTTATTCTCATTTTTGTTAGATCTCTCGATTAACATTTTAGTCATGCATAGGTGGCATAATCAAATGTGTCATGGCTTGTTCTTTCCAGAAGATTGTGGAACCTAATATTGTGTTATTGTCGCATGGTTATTGTTCTTTCCAGAAGATTGTTTTGTTCTTTGCAGAAGTTAGTATGCTCCTGTTTATTATAAACAGGAGAATTTGAATGCGAATTTTTAACCTAAACAGCTGGATGATGTGGGAAATTGACAAGACAAGGATTTTGAAAAACGTCAAGTATTTCTGAAATGATTATAGTTGGGAATATCAACTTGTCCACTGCACTGCTCAGAAAATAAAGAGGAAGGCCTGATATGTGCAAGCTAGATGCCTCGATTTTGTGGAGGAGGAATTAATAGCAACTTGGAGACTGGGGAGGATATGTGCTTAAAAAAGAGTAGACTAGGAATATTGATTGCTTTTGACGTCAAATATTGGCAATACTCAATTGAAGGTGGTTCCCCCTGGACTTCTGGCGTAGCCTTGCATGGTGATCATCTTCAAGCTACATGAGGGTTACAAGAAGCTGCCTGCAAAATATATACCAGATGTAGATATTTTTTTAGCAATTGTTTATGTCATCAATCGTCACTTATGAGAACATGATAGCGTTGGTGGTAACTTCAGTCCAAATGTCACTTCCACCTTTGCTGATATAAAAGATAGGATGATCCAACCCCAATGCCATTCTACCTTTCTTGCAGATAAAGCGTGGTAATATTAGAATATTATAGCAATATATGCAACCAGACCAGAATAGATGCAGCACTTCATGTAGTCCTGTTACCATGCTCTCTTATTCCATACTTCTAGAATCATTGCATATCAGATTCTTCCTTCTCGTGCTCTCTTATGAGATATATTTTTTCCATTACACACTGTAGTAGTATTTCTATTATGGTTTTGTTTTGCTCGAATTGAGATACATGTAAACAAAGTCTTCTTTTAGGTTATCATGTATTATTATGGAATATACTCCTGATCTTTGTTCCTCGTGTTTTGAAATACAATTGCAGCTATCTGCGAAGGAGCACCAAAAGTTCCAGTCTTCTTATGCAACAGTGCTTAAAGCTCATATGAGTGCATTGAAGAAGAGAGAACGTAAAGACAAGAGGAAAGCCGCAGAGGGAGAGACGAAAGATGGAAATTCCAAGAAGCCTGCTGCAAAGAAGGCTGCAAAGTGAACATGCTCCTCGTTCATTTGTTTTCTTTTAGATCCACCCAGTGCATTTTTGAGTAAACACCTTAGAGATAGTGAACAAATTTTCAGTTTCAAGTGCACCCATGTTCTTGTTGATTGAACTTTGCGAATCGTGCTTGATGCGGTGATCCTTAAACCAGGGCACCGAACGGAGGTCTGATATTAGGTTCTTGGTTGGAAGATTCGACCAGACTGGGGATTTATGGGTTGTAGACTTACAGCTTGACTTGATTGAGAAATTCTCCTTGGTTACTGCTTGATGCTGTATTTGTACTCAATATTTTTAAAGGCTATAAGATTTACTGTTAGACGATTTTGCTCTCTGTACGAGTTTTTTCCCCCCCTCAGAGATATAACATAATTGTTTTCGAGGAGGAGGCTGCATGTTATGAGGACTGTTTGATTTTTTTTTTAAAGCCTGATTGTTGTGTTGATTTAATAGTTGCTGTAATTTCAGGGAAGGCGTGGCTGTTGCGATGTGAATATGCACTTACGTCAGTATGCGTTTTACATGTTTGCTACAATATATTTTTCGTTAATGTCAAAGGAAGTTTTAAGCGTCCTACTAACTTTTCCACGTACGATGGAGATGCTTAGAACGAAGGTTTGAATACATTATCGGGCACAAAATTAGTCCTAATAATGCCTCTGTTTTAACGTTGTGATTTATTTTTTTTTTCACATTTTTTAAAATCTGAATATTGTATGGGAAAAAAGGAGGTTAAAGAGGGGAGAAGAAAGCATAAAAGGAAGGGAGGAAAAGGAGTTAATAAAAAAAGGGGGGAAATTATTAGGGGAAAAAAAATAGTTGTCAGAAGTGGGATTTGAACCCACGCCCTCTCTCGAAGACCAGAACTTGAGTCTGGCGCCTTAGACCACTCGGCCATCCTGACTGATGTTTAATTTTAATCAAAGTTCTTCTATGTGGCACTTTTGAGAGTACAAGCTTCAATTGATCGTTGACTGCACGCGTTGACCAATCTATACATCGCTCGTACGTCCAAGTAAACAACAACAACATCGATCTCCAAGCACTACTAAAATTCAGAGCAATAAACTGATACGGTTTTTGGTGTATAAAAATATTTGAATATTTATCTTTCTCAACTGAATAATGAAAACGGATTTTTGTTCCGCCATAGAAAAATTTTGACAGCTGCTGCCCACCATCACTGATCTCATTTTTTGTCCAGAAGAGAAGACCACATCGTTTCCGGACTAGAGAAAAAGTGGTACTAGACTCAAACAACCAAGTTGGTGAGCCTAGCTAGCTAGCTAGCTAGCCCTTTCACATGCACATATACAAAAATCACATATTTGCTTAAAACAAAACACAAATTAATTATAAAAAAAGGGACAAATGAACGAATTAGTAAGCTACTTTCTTCCCGTGAAGCAATAAACAATTCCTTGTACCAATCTTTGGAATCACATCCGTATACATAAACTTGTCAAAAAATAAAAATAAAAATCAAAACATAAATATGAAATAACAGCTGATCATTCCACTAAATAAGCTACTAAGAAATATTTAAACGATATCATCTCTATCTCTTAACTCATATCCAGTATGGAAAAAATAATTAAACCTGTATGTTGTATAGTATTATATTTATTATATTTTATTTACATCAGCATCTTTCTAATGACCGGCCCCTCCAGGGCTGGGTCCGGCCGGCAACCTCGCCAACCATGTCGCCACGATCTCCCTCGCCCGCTCGTACGTCGCACTTGTTGACGGGAATGGCACGTACGTCCCTCTCTCGAAATCCTCCGGCGATCGCCTTATCGCCGACGATCTCTGCACGCTGAAAGCAAACATGCAGGCCACGATGATGAAAATTAAAGCCTTCCTCATTTGTGATGCCGATGATGAAGTCATGGCCGCAAGGTTCTCTCTCTCTCTCTCTCTCTTCTTCTCCCTCCTCTTTGTGTTGGGGCTTAATTGGTTGAAGACCTGAAGCCTTGAAGGGTGATGTGCGAGTCTATTTATAGGTGTGCTGTAGGGGCTTGAGTTGACCCCCAACTGCTTTGAAATTGGAACTGGTCCTAGGATTTTGTAGTCAGGTCTTAGGAATTTTGCTTTATTATTAGTCTGCGGACAAATTTTCAAAATCGTCTCAACAGAATTTTTTTTTTTTTAAGAAATCGACCTCATTTACTTTTAATTATAAAATTCGACTCACTTTGAGTTGGTACTAATTAGTCGGGATTGCCAATCTCGACTAATTAGTAGCCTAATTAACAGCGGTAAACTTTTCCTGCTCCCTGACCCCACTTATAAGCAGACTACTACTTAGTCGGGGTTGACAACACCGACTAATTAGTACCGCAGTTAACTCAAAGTGAATCGATTTCTATAATTAAAAGTGAACGGGGTCGATTTTTTAAAAAAAAATATTTGTGTTGAGACGATTTTGAAAATTTCTTCTATCAGTCGCTGAAATGTTCGAGTTGGTGGTCTGATGGCAGGTGACGTGATATTTTGAAGGCTGAGGGTTGACGTCTGAATTGACTAGATTGATCTTTTGGAGTCGGTCTCGGTGAGAGAAAGCAGAGAAAGTAATAGTTTAGTTTGGAGGATTGAGACCGTCACCTGAACTTCTAATTACCAATATTATCCTTTTTTTAGGAGGGGTTAATTATAGAAAAGCTCAATGAACTTTTGTGGAGTTACAGTATTATCTCATCTAAAAAATTATCTTTAACCTCTAATATTAGCATCACCAATTCTAAAGTGCTACTAATAATCATAAGAAGAAGAAAACGAAGATGAAAAATTCCTTCTTAGTCATAAAAAAAATATTGTTTTATTAAAAATAGAAAAGGTATTTTTTTGAGATGGATGAGTTATTTTCATCTTTTTTACATTCTTGCCACATGAGAAAGTTAATATCGATGGTGATAATTTGGAGATTAAATGAGAAATTTTCACGTAAAAGCTAGCGAAACAAAACTTTATAGGGATAACTGCGTAACAACGGGTTTTCTTCTTTTTTTTTTTTTTTGGGTGGGGGGGTTGTATTGCAAGTCCACAAAATTCATGGGGTAATTAACCTCTTTAAAGAAATTGCTTTGAAATTTTAGAATATACAAAAGAAGTGACGATAAGTTGAATATACAGTATCATCTTTTATTAGGTCATATTTAGTTATTTGTAGGAGACTTTCAAGCGCGTACACACTTGCTTGAAAAATACTTTGCCGAACTGGCGAAGTTTAATTCGAAGGGGCTATCTGTTTGATTTGTAACTTTCAAGCAAAATAACAAACAAGCAG